GACGCTCTTCCGATCTCCCCAAAACCCCAAAACCCCAAAACCCCTCAGATAAGTATTTAAATTAGATATTTGTTAAAATGTCTAAATAATTGAAAATATAATGCAATCAATAATATATTTGTATTTCTTCAAATCTAGTCTGCCTAGTTTTATACAATGTTATTTTATCTATGAGGACTTTGCGTGCTAAGAATTGGCTCACTATTATGCATATCCATAAAGACTTTAAGATTTGGATCTCCAATCTGTTCGAGATACTAATTAAGTGGAACATCAAACTGCTAGTTCCATGTATTCTCATCAACAAAAGAGGTGAATTTTTGAATGAATTAGAGAATGCCTTGAAGGACTTGTATTTTCTACAAATTTTTCCCTGCTTTTTGTTGGTCTTATTCCTCATTGTCATCAGAGGGTAAGTTTTCCTCCATTATTCTAATTTTCTCCCTTACAGCCTCCATCACGTTAAAGCTGAAATCATTTTGCATATCCATAAAGTTTTTAGTCACATTAGACATAAAGAATTCTAGGATTTCTTAGTTTCCATTTTTAGCAGCTAAGTGAAGAGGTGTATCACCTTTGAAGTCCTTCTTTAATAATTCTTCTATAAATACTGATCTACCTACAAGCTACTTCAAGCTGTTAAGGGAGTTAAATTTAGCTGCAATATGGAATATAGTCTCATGCTTATAATTTCTCAGGTTGAAATAATCTCTACTCTTCTTGAAATATCTTTTCACGATTTCAACATCATCATGCATCAAACTATACATTATTGGAAGATTTCCATAGTAATCTCTAGTGTCAGGCCTTGGTCTGATTGCTTCTACTATTTCAATCCTTTAAGTAATACAGACAATATGTTCTATGGTTTAACCTTTATAATTTTGATCACCCCTTGCTTTGAAAAAATCTGGATGGCCAGAGAACCATTAAAAGACTTCAATATCACCTTCACGAGCTGCATAGAATAATGGGTTTTCTCCATTAGAATCTTTCATCAATAAGCACTCTTATTTATATTATTCGAATATCTTGAGTATCGCAATATTCTTTCTTTAAGTTGCAATGTGAATTGGAGTTTAGCCGTAATAATTAGGTTTTAAACAGAGTCTAGGTCTTCTATCAAAGATAAATTACACAATATGAGTGTCTTCTTTAACACAAGCAGTATGCATTGAACAGTTACCATCTTTGATATCCTGCTTATCAAGATCAACATTAGGAAAGTTCTCAATAATATACTTAGTGATATCATCCCTCTCATGCTCGATTGAAAGCATAATAGCACTTTTGCCTTCATAATTTCTTAGTTCTAGAACCTAGTATTATTTAGGGAGGGAATTTCCATCCTTTAAGTCATGCTTATCTAGAATCAATTTCAAATCATCTAAGCTACCTCTAATCACTGCTTCATGAATCTCCTCGTTTTTATCACTATCTTGGAATGTTGGATCTTCAAGAATTTTTTAATCAAAATATTCCCAGATTTTCTTTTTATAGTTAGGCTAGCCTCTTAACGACATTGGCTTTGATTAATAACTTCTAATTATATTTAATGGAGTCTTGTTTTCTTGATTTCTTGTCAATCTCATATTGTATTTCTCGATTATAGCTTTTATAAAATCGTATTCAGCATCCTTAATTGCACCCATTGCCATAATATGTAGAATTGAATTTCCATTAGTGTCTGAAAGCATTGGATCTGCACCTGCTTTTATTAAAAGATCAAAAGTGTCCATATCTAATTTACTGGCTGCAATGTGAATAGCTGCTTTGCCATTAAAGTCTCTAACATAATGATTTGGCTTTCCAAATTCAATTAAAGTTTTTATAATGAAGGGGTTACCTCTTAGTACTGCTTAATTCAGTGGCAATCTACTTCCACTATTAATGCATGGCTTTCTCTTTTTTAGTAAATAATTTAGGATGTTAAAATCAAGGTAGCCTGATGTGCTTAGAAGCTCATAAAGAGCACTCTTTTCATTAAGTAAAATGTTGATATCAAATTAATGATTTTCAACTAATTATCTCACAGCTTCGTCATTAGAAAGTCTACAGGCTAGATGAAATGGAGTAGTTACAGTTTCCTAATACTATGATTTCTCATCTTTGTATCTTTTATAGTCTTTTACCTAACTCATGCCAACTTGCACAGTCCTCACAGTCTTAGGAGGTATACTATCTATGATTTCAATGTTATTTCTAAGAACAGCCAATGTGAAAGATTTTTCAAATCTTAAATCCAGTCTATGTGGCCTCTGTACAAATTTTAAACTACAATTAGGGTTATATTTATGCATTCTATCAATGAATAACTTTGCTTTCTCATCATCTTTAATGTTAATAGCAACGTCTAATGGTGTAAGTCCAGATTTGTTTAGCATAAATAATAGATGAGGAGTGTTTGCAATGTGAACATCTAATTCTTAGATCTATTCAAACTTGTTGAGTTGATGCATTGTGGTATTACCCTCATCATCTACTCCATCATTATTAGGATCCATCAAGTAATTTTTAATGTTCAATGAAGTTTCTCTTTGAATTTTACTGAATATCTAACCTTTGAAAGTGGGTCTGAGTTCTGGATTGCTGGTACCATCAATAAATTTCCTCACTGTAAAGAGAGTCAATATTGTAACATCCTTAATAAACAGGAAAATAATCATTGCAAATGAGAAATTAGCTGCTCCACTCCAGCCATACTGGTTATTGTAATTTGACTATATTATCATTTGAGGCAAGGTTTATAAAACAAATTCTGAGACTATCTAAACTCTAAAGCAATTTTCGATTGTTAACAACTTAATATTATCGTTGAGCTTGAAAGTATTCATAAATTTTGCATGAATAAATTCATTGATAGTCAGAACTTTTGTATATTGCAATAGAGCATAGACAGGTGATATAAGTAGCATCTTTGCTCGCTCTTTATTATCATCAATTTTGGGATTCGCTAGCATGTAAATAATAAACAAGAACATGTAAAACATTGGCTGCAGGAGAATAAATGCCACGCATGCATTTTTGGTACCTTTTTCTACAAAATCAGTATTACCATAATAGGCAATGTCACTAATCCAATCAAGGTTTCCAAAAATGACTCCATACCAAATGATGATGAAACTTGTAATAACTCCCATTTTTCTTAATCTAATTTTATTAACTGCTACTTTACTATCATTCAAATCTTCAACAATGGGGTTTTGGGGTTTTGGGGTTTTGGGG